ATTTGCTAATTACCCAATTTTTTAATGCTAAACTGTTAATAAAATTAATTCAGAAATTGATATTTAATAAAAATATACTAAGATGCTACTGCTGATTAAATAAAAAATTAATTGAATTATTGAAATATTAAATTTATAATAATTATACCTATTTTTTTTATACAACCCTATCAGGGTAATTAATTAAAAAAATCGTATTATTTATTTCAGATCTATTAAGTCATGATTCTCTGATGATAATTGACATAGTAATTGAATTATTATACTGTAAATCAATTCAAAAAAGAATTGAATTATTTGTACCATAAAAAATATACTTTTATTTGTTATGAGGGTTTAGTACTTAAACTAAAACAGTATTATAATATCGTTTAAAAGCTATTTTATTATTATTTTTTTTTTAAATCTATTAATTTTTATAATTATTGTAACAGATTAAAATGAAATCAGTTTAAAATAAAATTTTTCTATTGTTTTAGAAAAATTTAAAATTTTTTGGAAGACATTTTTTAGAGTTAGAGTTAGTGTTAGAGTTAGGGTTTAGAGTTAGTTTTATTAATAAAAGAGAATAAGTAGGTTTTATAAGCTTTAAAGATAAGCAAGAAAGGTCCCCAATTTCATTTTAATCTGATTTCATTATGATCTGCCACAATTATTATTATTATTTTAACAATGGGTAAATCAATCTTCTCTAAAAGAAAAATTTGGTTATAGTTTTGTGCACTCACTTTATTTATTTACTTATATATAAAGAAGGAACTTAAAAATTAAAAATTCAAATGTCATACCTCATGAATCATTGAAAAAAAATATCTTTCTTTATAAATTATTACTCTGACAAATTAGAAATTACTTTTTTTTTCATATTGTTAGTCCCATCTCTACTTGTATCATTTGCAATTTTACCAGACTTTTCTCAAAAGTCCTTGAATCTTATCTAATTGGTATCTAAATGATAAATCATTGGAAGCCTCTAATCGTGTATTTTCGAAACTGCAATGATAATTTTTACATGTATTATTCACTTATATAATTTGATCTTGGATCTATGTTAGATTAACAATTAATATCGAAATAAACCTATTATAGAGCCTTGAACTAGAAGAAGTCAATGCGTCATTTTATTATTTAAAATTTAGCTTTAACCTTAGTGGTATATTGAAATTTATAATAAACTTTCTATACATAATCTTAACCAATCCGAAATTGCAATGCCTTAGGATACGCGTATGCAATTATTAATTTCATTTATTACATGTCACTTTCTGCTTCCTTACTATGGTGACTGTATCTATTGAAGAATATCATGTTTGATAAATTATATTACTAACTGCAAGAATTGGATTCCAATTCTTATATATTATTTTTTTGGGACCACGCTGCTCCAATACCAATCTTCAGAGTATGTGTGATTTTGGGTATTATGATAACAAAATGGTGGTACAGTACTGGGGTTTATAAACACGGATTTTGCAATCGAACTACAGTATATGTAACTTTTATAATCATTTTTATATATTGCATAAAGGCAAAAAAGTCGACAGCACAATGTCTCTCCCTGACAAATCAATTAATGGACTAAAAGGAGTGCTATTCTGGTTTATATTAAGAATTCTATTGGCTGTGGTATTTGATATAATGGGGACCATAGATACCCTCGGTGTCTTGAATCCAAATGAGGTAGCATCAATCTAATCATATATTGTATACTTACCTGTTTAATCATTTGGATTGTGAAATTATCAGAAAATATTCAAAATGTAAATCAAATAATTGTGATAAAAATAATAATTCATTTAATATTTGTACGATTCCCGAAAAGATCTAATACTGACAAAGCTTACTGACATTAGTTGTAATTCTGGCCAATTTGGTCAATATTAATTTTGTGGTCCATTTGTACTGAAGAATAATTATTTTTTAAGTATTATGCATAATTTTACTTGGAATTAATAATTTAATTCTTTAGGGTGCTAGAATTATACTTAGTTTTGCTTGAATACCTGTAGTTATCGCTATGCTTGAATCATAATTTTGTCTCAAGTTATATTTGATTATTAAAGTCACAAAAAGTATTTAATTAGCAATCTACATAAGAATGATAGTATATTATAGTAACTATATAAATTACTATACTTTTTATATAAGTTTTTTTTTCTTATTTATTAAGAAAATTCTATATGGTTACAAAATCTAAAATATAAATATCTCATGATTTACTAAGCCAATTTTAATAATTTTTTTACACATTAATAAATTTAATAGTAATTTGCATATATGAAATACTATCTATCTTAGATGAATTGACAATTAAACATTTTTTTATTTTATATTTTTTTCTCATTATTTTAAATGATTGAATTTTGTAGCTCTGGTAAACACAATTTTAAAATATATATTCAAGTAAAATTAATTCTTGTAGGCAAGATCAAATTATAAAATTTATTCAAATTTATGTATAATTCCGGGCAAAATTAGGCATAATTTTAGGCAAAATCAAATTATAAATTTATGCAAAATTAGGTACAGATTGCGATTAGAATGTGTAACTTTGTTTTTTACTATATCGATCTACAACTTTTTCTAGCTATTATTCATGCTTGAGACTTGTTTTTAATGAAATATTATAGAGAAAAAGAGGATAAATGATATTAAGTATGGGTATTATTTTGGTAGTTTTTTTAATTTAAAAAAAATGTTACCTGTTAACTTTGATGTTGTTGAAGGTGAGACGAACTTGGAATGTGTATACGTTAAAGAAAGAATTAGAAAAAAGTCACCACACAAGAATGGCAAAGGTTTCAAAGATAGAATTAGAAATATTTTTATGAATATGAATATAGAATTACGTAGACTTGAGTAAGTATTCACTGAGTTATTGTCTAGTAGTTATGTATCTGAAGTTGCACTGCCACTAGATGTAAATCATGAGAATGAAAGCTCATCGTGGCCATAATCAAGTGGTCAACTTGGTTATGAACATTCTTCTCATGTTATCGAAAAGTCATTTATGGAGTTGCTCTAGAGCTGTGGTGAATAGGATATATGAATCGAGAATTGAAAGCTCCTTGTGGCCATAATCATATGCTCAATTTGATTATGAACGTTCTTCTTGATTTTTAACAATAATGAAGATAAAAATTTAATTTTTTTTTATTTAATCTGATAGGCACGCACCAGGCGACATAGGTATCGATTGGATAGTGGGCTGGGAGGATATACAATAATCGTTAGTCTAGTAGTCAATATAGTAATGATCTTTAATCAATCTTTTTTTATAATTAGCGATTATAAAAAAATTGTTACTATACCACCTGCACCATGTTTATATAATCTAATTAATCAATTTTAAATTTATTCATGATATTAAATTGTAACGATAAGGATTGTAATAAAATTAGGCCTAAGAGGGAGCATGAAATTGAAAGGAGTATTGTCAAGATTCAGTAAAATGGAAACTATCAGTATTTTAGTAGCTCCATCAAAGAATAATTTTACTCAGAAATCAATAAATAGAGTAAAATTGTCTGAATTCAATCTTATCCTTACAGATAAACTGTATTTGAGTATAAATTTATTAAGAGTAAATGAACTGAATCAACTCAATATAATGGAATCAAAATTATAGAGCAGAATGAAAGCTCTAACAAATTTAGATCTGTAAATATCATACTTTTATTATATATTTTTATTTTAACTTGTACTGCTTATTCAAGATTCAAGATTCCTCTAAATATAACAAAAGATAACACTTTCAGAATTAATTTTTTTTTTTTTTTTTTTTTTTTTTTTTTAGGTTTTTAAGGTGACCTCTATGGCCAGGGGCTTTTTATTAACTTATTAACTTCAGTTAGTTACAATGAGGGTACATCAAGCCACACGTGTACTTTTGGTACCTAATTTAAGTAGTCCGCCTGGGTTCTACACTAGCTGCCATACCTGCAACCTAACTAGAAGATTACCTATTTAAGCTCTCACTTTCAGAATTAATGCTCAATCAGATTTGGCTAAATTAATCAGAAATACAAAATTAATTATTTGGGATGAAGCACCAATAACAAACAAAGTAGCTTTTGAAAAATTTAATGAAGCTATCCAGAATATTATAAATAACAAAGAAGAATTATTTAGAGGCAAAGTAGTTTTATTTAGTGGTAATTTTAGACAAATTTTACCTATAGTAGTTTGAGGAAATCCTGCTCAATCATTTAAGCAATCATCAAGTATCAAAGTTAATCAGACAATTATGAGGTATGTTAGATCCAGAAGTCAAAAAAGAGTATCAACAACAAGCAGAAACCCTTAAAAAAGATCAACAAAAACAGAATAATAGTAAATACAAATATAAGAAAAGATTATATAATGAAATAACAACAGGTAGCTCTAAAAAGAGAAGAATTTCAGATAATGAAGAATTGTTAAAAAATATTGACTCATGTTTCAAGCAATGAGAAAATTTCATCATCCAATAATGAAAAATTGTTAAAAGAATAGTTGGAAAAAATATTGACTCAAGTTTCAAGTACTGAGAAATCTTTATCATCCAATTCCACAGAAAATAATAAAGAATTGTTAACAAAGTTGAAAAAAATATTGACTCATGTTTCAAGCAATGAGAAAATTTCATCATCAGAATAGTTGAAAAAAATATTGACTCAAGTTTCAAGTACTGAGGAATCTTTATCATCCAATTCCACAGAAAATAATAAAGAATTGTTAACAAAGTTGGAAAAAATATTACCTTTTTTAAGTAAAAAAATAATGAAAAAACAATGAAGAGTCAAGTGAAATAAATGGTATCAAAAATACTTATTATGAAGAGTCAAGTAAAAGTGACAATGTCCAAAAACCTTATTTTGATGAAAACAAACAAATATTATTTAATTATCTACAAGGATTTGATCAATTTTTTCCAGTTGTTAATGCTTTTCTTAAAAAATCTCATTTATAGAATTCTATTGAAAAATTAGCATTAAAGACAAATATGAAAATTCAAGAAAATGATGAGGAGGCAATTAATTTTGCAAGATATTTATTAGAAATTGGTAATGATACTAAAGCTACTTATAATTAAATTGGTAAAATATCATTAAATTAGATAATGCTATGGTCTTAAAAGATGATAAGGTTAAATTATTAATATCTGATCTATTTAAAGATATTAATACTACTGCTGCTGCTGATTATTCAACCTATCTTAGAGACAGAGCTATTCTTACACCAAAAAATGATGATGTAGATGATATTAATGAAAAAATTCTTAATACTCTACCTGGTGAAGGTACTATATTTTTATTTGCTGATTCTATTGAGAGATGCTACTCAAAAATAACAATTCGGTCTGAAGAAAATATATAGGCATATTACCCCATTTTTAGCTGCAGACGTTGTATTGCCTTCTTAATTATGTAAAAAGATTTCCTCGATAATTAATAAATAGTTGGAATTTTTGAATCTACAACTCTGAATATCTTTTGTCAAAATATTTACAAACTGTATTATAACTCCACTATGCCCATAAGCTCTAGAAGCTGTGTGGATCATTTAATTTATTTATTTTTTTTAAAAAAAAAAAGACCACAAATTTTAAAAATCGTTAAATAGGTTTAATTTTAGCATCATCCGTGACAAAACAATACCTCTTTCCTATAATCTCTAGATAGAAAAGATCATTTCTGATCGAAATCTTTTACTCATGTGTTTGGTGAATAATTTTCATTAGAGAATATAAACTTGAAGAATACTTTTCGAATTTATCTGAAGTTCGTAGCAACGTGAATTCACACTCAACTCCAGGTTCTATACAGTGATCAAATTGTTTTGGATTGTTACACTTATCTTTTTGCCGTGACATCTCCCTACTGGTACTGTTGAGGATCTAAAAAAATTGATCGCTCAAATTGTTTCTTAAGGTAGTATTTACGTAAAGGGCTTCTGCTAATGCTTTTCCACTCTCATAATTTTTCAATGAAGATTTAATGAAGTTAAAGTTATATTTTCGCACAGGCTTTCGCTAATATTTTTTCTCTTCAGAATGAAGTTGGTTTTTGAAAAGGTTTAGAGTAGTTAGAGTTGTATTTTTTTGCGATTTTAGGTTATGATTATTTTTTCGTGTTTTCAATTTTTCGTCATATTCTGAATTTTTCTTTTGTACAATAAGGCATTCATTTATTACCAAAAATCAACAGTCATCAACTATTTAAATAAATTCATTCAGCAAGATCATTTGTGAATTATTTTTTTATGACCAAATTATGTTCTGGTTAATTCCGAGATAAATATTATTTATTTTTTTAATTGTTGCCTATATCTATTTATCGAGCATAGAAACTTTACAAGCTATATAATTGTATTATACAAACCTGTAACATTATTATTTAATTGGTAAATAATATTGAAAAAATGTTAACTTTACAAACAAAGCTATAGAATCATTTCTTTTATTTGATTATGAAAAAATTATAATATACTATGTATTTTTTTTTCTAATAAAAAAAAAAGCAAGAAAGAACTAATTTAGTTTCTTTTTTAATGAATTGGCTCTGTAACTTTGTTTGTAGGGATATAATACTAGTCTTTGCAAAATTTTATCCAAAAATATCGAGTAGTTAGGCCTGTGCATCTATTTAAAATTTTCTAATATTTATTATAAACTTATATCATCTATCTAAAAATCTTCATTAATAAATTTTATTATAAGTTTTGATTTACATAGTATACGTCGATCTCCAACGTACTGTAGTAGACAAATTATATTGTCTATATGAGTGCTGTCAAGGGAAAACCTGTCATCGTGTTTCAATTATATTTTTACCGGGAAGTCCGATGACAGGTGCTATATATCATATACTAATTTTTCCACAATTCATCACTTTATTTCAGAATTTGCTAAATCAAAATTTGGTATTGACAATAAAAAAATAATTTAATTCGCTATATTAAATTGAATTACCCAAACATTTCCATTATTATTTCAAGATAAATCTCCTATTGTTAAAGAGGTCATTACACAAATAAAGCAAGCATAAAACTTGCAGCATTGTGAATGCTTTTTTTTTCTACTGAACTGATCCAAATCCAAAGTTGTCTCTGAAGATAATTTCCTTTTAAATTGAAATACTGCATCTAAGTGCACAATGATGTAAATATAAAGATCCTTCTGCTCAGGAACAGTCTCGATATCTTAAAGCGCATTTATGGATTATGGACAAGTTTATTTATATGTTCTAGACGTTATAATAATAATTCCGAAGAATAATTTTTAAATACAATAATTTATTTTTCAGAAGAGAAAAGACGTCTAAAAAGAGCAATTAGTGAACTGCAAAAGCAGATAAACTTGGCCTATTACTGTTGTAGTTTCCGTATTAAATTCTTATGTTTATACATTTGTAGTATTGGTTATAATTTTATTTGTTATAATGCTAATGGCCGTTTCTACTGATGACTTTTTAAGATCGGTTTCAATTTTGTCCAATGAGGGACGCTGCTCCGGTTAAGAAGACCAGCATTTTGTATAAAGATTGGCATAATCTGTAGGTGTATCGGCAATAACCTTTTCTCTTTCATTTTGTAAAATTTTCACAGCTATAGTCATATTTGTAAAACCATTGAATGGAGGAACCCCACTTGTAAGTTCCCAAAGTAAGACACCTAGACTATAAATGTCAGATTTCTTACTGAGCTTATATTTTATACCTTCTCGAAGGTATTTGGGATCGGTATATGCTGGAATGCATGTCACGCCTGAGCTTGAAGCAACAGCATCACATCATTTAATTGTTTAGACACTCCAAAATCTGCAATCAAGACCTTACTATCGTTCATTAAAATATTTTTAGAATGCTGACCGTTTATGTAATTGATAAAATTGTTAATTTGAAATTTATTTTTAGAATGGCATTTGAAAAAAAAGTTAAAACTTACTAAATCCCGATGAATAATATCATTTGAGTGCAAATATTTTAACCCATTAATAATTCCATTGGCAATTAGGATGAGTCCACTCCATGAAATTTTATAAATACTTTCATATTGCTTTCTTTCCAAATATTTTCGTAGGTTTCCACTATTTGCTAATTGCAAAATCAACATAAAATTACGTGTATTCGAATCTAAATGGCATTTAAATGAAATTGAACCTCACATTATTAAGATTTGAATTTTAATTGGAATTTAATAAATACCTCTTGAAATTCCATAAAATTTGATGATATTTTCGTGATCAACATTATAAAGAATTTCAATCTACATTATTATGTGTTCTTTTTAATATTGAATATTAATTTTTAAGAATCTCAATACATAATAATATGCTACCTCACGTTTAATTAGCTTAATAGTTTTAACATCAACATACAAGTTATTGTTTAGGCTTTTTAATGCATATTTTTTCCCTTCAAAAGTTGCTGAATATACGACTGCAGAACCTCCTCTTTCAATTGGACTGATGTCGCTAAATTGTGAGTACTCGAACCTTTCTATTTTTTTTAAGGTTAAATCTAATTGTTCCGAATATTCAGATACTATTTCTGTATGAAAATTCACAGCTCCGATAACTAAAGTAAATTTTAATTTGTTATGGATGTATTAATAGCTTACATGTCTTTCTCGAATCCTGCATGGTTTTGCTCAACTCTAGGCATCATTGAATTCGGAACTAAAGTTTCACAATTATATAAGTTTAAATAGAAATATTTGAACTAGCATGTACGTACGTACTACGTATCACTGTGTTATTCAATAAAGATTTTAGGTGTAAAGACTTGTTTTATTGGCACCCTTTGTTTGTCACAATTTCCAATGGTACGTATTTAATTTTATAATTAGAAATAAGTGAATGGATTAATAAAAATGACGAATGCAGAGCAAGGAGAAACATTATGTAAAGTACTTTTCACTAAAAGTCTAAATACCTATATATATAAAATATTAATGCTTTGTCTTAGTGTCTGAATGTTCGGAACAGTTAGAAGTATCCTTAGAAAGGGTAAGAAAATTTGACTATTCGCAATTTGGCGATGTGAGACGTATTGGGAGTGGGAAATTCGCGATCGTGTATTCGTCCACTTTTGAAAATTGTAATTATGCATTAAAAAGCCTAAATAACAACTTGCAAATTGACGTTAGAACGATAGGGAGAATTAAACGTGAGGTAATGTATCATTATCGGGTCTTTCAAGTTAGTATTCAAAATTAAGGAATCGATATAATAATTTAGATTGAAATTCTTTATGATATGAGCACGAGAATATTATCAAACTTTACGGAATTTCAAGAGGTATAATAATGATTTAAAATTGAAAGTAAAAGAAATGTAGAATTAATTTTACTTTAAATTCAGATTTACTATCACATAGTTTTATGTTGGTATTGCAACTAGCAGATTGTACACTGAGAGGTCATTTAAAAAGAAAACAACATGAAAATATTTATAAAATTTCATGGGATGAACTTATCAGAATTGCCAAGGAAATTACTGATGGGTTAGAATACTTGCATGCAAATGAAATTATCCACCAAGATTTAGTAAGTCTTAATTTGTTGATTGTCATTACGATATTATTTATAAATTGGTAATTATAACTTTTATTAGCATTCTATGAATATTTTGATGAACGGTAATAAGGCCTTGATTGCTGATTTTGGAGTTTCAAAAAATTTGAATCAACCACGTAATCCAGTATTTTCATATTTGGCATGCAGTCCCGCATATACTGATCCACAGTATTTAAGATACCAAAATAATGATATAATCGACAAGAAATCTGACGTCTATAGTCTAGGAGTCTTATTTTGGGAACTTACAAGCGGAATTCCTCCATTCAATGGTTTTACAAATCCAATTATAATTGTGAAAGTTTTACAAAACATCAGAGAAAAGGTTATTATCAATACACCCATAGAATACGTTATTCTTTACACAAAGTGCTGGTATTTTGATCCGGATCAACGTCCCTTACTGGATGAAATAAAAATCTCGCTTGAAAAGTTGTCAACTGAAACAACCATTGATTTCATGGTAAATTATATTATTGATAACGATAACGATAGCGATAGAGATGTGCATCTTGAAATTAATGACAGAAGTACTTATAATTCAAGCAGGCAAGTAATAATATTTATGGTCATATGAGACTAAGTTTACTCGTTTTCTAAATAAACTTATTATCGCTATTACAATTTAATGCAATAGTAATAGAAATAAACGAAAATTTCCATTTTAAAGTAAATATTATCTCCTTTTTTTTGTTGCATCTATAATTCTTATTTCCATTGGAATTAATTATTTGTCGGTGAGGAATGAAGAGGAAAATTATGTGCTTGAATTGAGAAATAAAGGAGAAAGTTAACGTAAGATGGGTAGATATGATGAGTCACTTGCATATTTTAATAAATTATTGGAGCCTAAAGATGCATTTGCATTAAGAAGTCGTGGAGAAGTTTATAAAATAAAGAAAAAATATGAAAAATCACTTGTGGATTTCACAAAGTCATTAGAAATTGAACCAAATAACGCATTTGCATTGAGAAATCGTGGTGAAATTTACTACTTTTTAGGCAGATATGAAGAAGCACTTGAAGATTTAAGTAGATCTTTAGAAATTGAATTCAACAATACAAGAGCATTGATGTTCCGCGGAGTAATTTATATATTAATGGAAAGATACGAAGAATCATTGTTAGACCTAAATAAATCATTAGAAATTGAGCCAGATAATGAAGATATATTAAAAATTCGTGGAGGAATCTATCGCGACTTGAAAAGATATGAAGAATCGCTTACAGACTATAATAAATTATTAGAAATTGATCCAGATGATGCAGATCTATTAACAGATCGTGGAAGGACTTATCTCTTGATGGGCAGGTTTAGAGAGGCACTGACAGATTTAAACAAAACATTAGAGATTGAACCAAATAATGCATGGGCATTATATTATCGCGGAACACTTTATTCCATGAAAAATAGATATGAAGAATCTCTGTCAGATATAAATAAATCATTAGAAATTGAGCCAAATAATGAAGATATATTAAAAATGCGTGGAACGATTTATATGGCGTTGAAAAGATATGAAGATGCACTTACGGACTTAAACAAATCGCTTGAAATTGAGCCAAATGATGCAGATGCGTTAGAAAGGCGTGGAACGATTTATATGACGTTGAAAAGATATGAAGAATCACTTGTAGATCTAAACAAAGCATTAGAAATTAAGCCAAATGACGCAGATAAATTAAGTAAACGTGGTAAAACTTATTTCTGGTTGGGTAAATATGAACAGTCACTTGAAGATTTAAACAAGTCACTAAAACTTAAACCAAATGATACGGACACATTAGGAATTCGTGGAATAGTTTATATGGCAATAGCAAAATATAAGGAATCACTCGCAGATTTTAACAAATCATTAAAAATAGAACCGAATAATAAATGTATGTTAATATTTAAAGAAGCACATTACCTTCAAATAAAAAGACATGAAGAAGAATTAAATAAATCATTAGAAATTGAACCAAATAACTCGTTTACACTAAGAAGACGTGGAGAAATTTATTATATGATGGGTAGTTATGAAAAATCACTCACTGATTTAAATAAATCACTGGAAATCGAACCAAATAACACATTGGCACTAAAACTTCGTGTAGAAGTTTATTTAAAGATAAATAAATATGAAGAATTTTTCGTAGATTTAATTAAGTTATTAGAACGTGAACCAAATAATGCATGGGCATTAAGGATTCGTGGAGAAGTTTATCGCCTAATGAATAGATACGAAAAGTCACTCGCAGATTTTAGCAAATCATTAGAAATTGAACCAGACAATGCATTTGCATTAAGTAGACGCGGATCAATTTATTGCAAGATCAATAAATATGAAGAATCACTTTCAGATTTAACTAAATCGTTAGAAATTAAACCAAACAATGCGTTTGCATTAAGAAATCGTGGAGATACTTATTACATGATGGATAGATATGAAGAATCACTTGCAGATTTGAATAAATCATTAGAAATTGAACCAAATAATGCAGAAGCATTAAGAAATCGTGGAGATACTTATTACATGATGGATAGATATGAAGAATCAATTGCGGATTTAAATAAATCATTAGAAATCGAACCGAATAACGCATGGGCATTAAGAAGTCGTGGAGAAACTTATCGCCTAATGAATAGATACGAGAAGGCACTCGCAGATTTGAATAAATCATTAGAAATCGAACCGAATAACGCATGGGCATTAAGAAGTCGTGGAGAAACTTATCGCCTAATGAATAG